CTTGGGTTAATCTCTCCCCCTTCACCCACCCACCCTCCTCCATCCCTCTGAGATTTGTCAGTCTGATCCATGCTTCCATGTCATGGAATCTATTCTGCTCATCAGTTTATTAAGTTATTTAGATTTCACATATAAGTGAGATCATGTGATGTTTATCTTTCTCTGCTTGGCTTATTTCGCTTAGCATAATATTCTCCAGGTCCATCCATACTGTCCCAAATGGTACTAGATCCTTCTTCTTTACAGCTGCATAGTATTCCATGGTGTAAATGTCCCACAGCTTTTTTTATCCACTCAACTACTGATGGGCACTTGAACTGTTTCCAGATCTTAGCTATTGTAAATTGCACTGCTATGAACATAGGGGTGCATATATTTTGATTAGAATTTCAGGATTCTTAGGATATATTCCTAGAAGTCAGATCACAGGGTAGAAGACAGCTCCATTTTTAACTTTTTGAGGAAACTCCATACTGTTTTCCATAGTAGCTGCACCAGTCTGCATTCCCACCAACAGTGTACTAGGGTTCCCCTTTCTCCCTGTCTCTTATACACATCTAGATGTGTATAAGAGACAGGTGTTTGTATCTATATANATGTGAAGTGACATCTCACTGTGGCTTTAATTTGCATTTCTCTGATGATTAGTGACATTGAACATTTTGTCATATGTCTCTTGGCCATCTGTATGTCCTCTATGAAGAAGTGTCTATTCAAGTCCTTTGCCCATTTTTTAATTGGATTGCTTGTCTTCCTGTTGCTGAAGAGTATGAGTTCTTTGCACACTTTGGAAATCAACCCTTTATCAGATACATCCTTGGCAAATATGTTTTCCCAGACCATGGGGTTCCTTTGTATTTTGAGGCTGTTTTATTTTGTTGTGCAGAAGCTTTTTAGTTTGATGTAGTCCCATATGTTTATTTTTTCTTTTGTTTCTCTTGCCCTAGGAGATGTATCAGTGAAAATTCCACCACGTGAAATGTCTGTGACTTTACTGCCTATGTTTTCTTCCAAGATTTTTATAGTTTCGTGGCTTACATTTAAGCCTTTTATCCATTTTGAGTTTATTTTTGTGTATGGTAAAAGTTGGTGGTCTAGTTTCATTTTTTTGCATGTATCTGTCCAATATTCCCTGCACACCATTTATTGAAGAGTCTGTCTTTACTCCATTGGATACTCTTGCCTCCTTTGTCAAATATTAACTGACCATAATGGTGTGGGTCGATTTCTGGGGTCTCCGTTCTGTTCCATTGATCTATAGGTCTGTTGTTGTACCAATACTAGGCTGTTTTGATTACAATGGCTTTCTAGTATAGTCTGACATCTGGTAATGTGATCCCTCCCACTCTGTTCTTTTTTCTCAAGATGGCTGCTGCTATTCAGGGTCTTTATGGTTCCATATAAATTTTTGAAATGTTTGTTCCAGATCTGTGAAATATGCTGTTGGTGTTTTAATAAGAATTGAATTTATAAATTGCTTTCGGTAGTATGGATATTTTAATGATATTAATTCTTCCAATCCATGAGTATGGTATATTCTTTCACTTGTTTATATCTTCCTCTATTTCTTTTTACAGTGTCCTGTAGTTTTCTGAATACAGGTCTTTACATCCTTGGTTAAGTTTACTCCCAGGTATCTTATTTTTTTAGTTGCAATGGTAAATGGTATTGTTTTTGCAGTTTCTCTTTCTGAAAGGTCATTGTTGGTTTATAAGAATGCCATTGATTTCTGGATGTTGATTTTGTATCCAGCTACCTTGCCAAATTTATCAAATCTAGTACTTTGATGGTCTTTAGGGTTTTGTATGTACAATATCATGCCATCTGCAAATAATGACAGTTTCACTTCCTGCTTTCCAATTTGGATACCTTTTATGTTTTCTTCCTGTCTGATGGCTGTGGCAAGGATTCCCAATACTATGTTGAATAAGAGCGGTGAAAGTAGACATCCCTGTCTTGTTCCTGTTTTTAGAGGAATGGTTTTAGTTTTTGACCATTGAGTATGATTTTGGCTGTAGGTGTGTCATATATGCCCTTTATTCTGTTGAGGTATGATCCCTCTATTCCCACCTTGCTGAGAGTTTTTATCAACAATGGGTGCTGGATTTTATTGAATGCTATTTATGCATCTATTGATAAGATCATGCGATTTTTGTCTTTCAATTTGTTTATGTGATGTATCACATTTATTGATTTGCAGTTATTATACCAGCCTTGCATTCCTGGAATAAATCCCACTTGGTCATGGTTCATGATCTTTTTAATATAATGCAACCTCAGCTATTCTTGATTCTCAAAAGGCAGAACTGCATGACTAGTTCCTTCAATCCCATGTCTAACGCCCTCTCCAATAAATGTCAATTCCTAGTACAGCCAAGCTGTCACTATTGCAGAGCAGAAGCCAAAATATGTGATGGCAATGTCTTAGAGGCACCACTTCTCCTTATTTCAGCACCTACTCTGGGGTACCACTTACCTGTGTCTACTCAGCGCACAGATTTGATTTAGCCTGGTGAAGTACATGGTCACGGGGCAAGGAGAAAAACAATATAAACAGTGAATGGAACACAAACATGTTTTAAACATTTTAATGTTATCCCTGAAGTTTCACATTAAAGAAAAATATATTTTTTAAAAAATGGAAAGAGGGATCAAAAGTTTACTTAAAAGTAACCCATGGGTGTGAGGTCTCAGGGTTCACTATATTTGGGGGCAGGTAGTTCAATATACTTAATGTTTTCATTAGATATTACAAAGTAACATTAAAAAAAATTCATTGAAGGCAGTAATGGAGACCAATTATTAGGAAATGCTTACAAGTGATCACTCTTAGATAAGAAGAAACCAAAGCAGAAATTTCTAGACAAGAAAATAATACTTCATAGCAAAATCTATGGAATAAGCTACACACATAGAAAAACATATAGCCTTAGATACTCTTTCTTAAAAAGTGAACCAAGTACTCATCTAAGGAAATTAGAAAAATTATAACTCTCCACAGATATGTATAAAAGTCTCAAAACAAAAAGGACCTGAGTGCTTGTCCTCAGGTGTAGCAAAGCAGGCAGGAGCTGGGAAGACAGCAGCCTCCCTGGCATCCAGTCCTGGTGAGGCCAAAAAGGCAAGAGTGAGTCAGGATTGCTCTCAAGAGTTGGGAAGAGTAGTGGAAGAGAGAGGTAGAAGAAAGGGAGCATTGGGGCCATAGCCTCTGCCTCAAGAGTGACTCTGGTTTATAAGGTGAATGGGGCTCTTAAGTATACACAAGTTTAGAGAAGATGTCTCCCTCCTCCTCATGAGATTAGCTCTCCTATCTGGGATCATGGGCCCATTTACCCAGGCTGCTCCTTTATTCCGTCATCATCTTTCTCCACCTTCACCTCTCCCATTCACTCCCTTTACACCTCAAAGTCTAACTTCTGCCTCCCTTCTTCATGAAACTGCTCTAAAGTCCTATTAAATTTACATGGTGCTTTTGAATCCTTTTGTTACATTTCTTTACTGCATTTCCTGGAACCAGGGTTCCTAACATGTACTTGCACTGGGACATTTCCACTTGCCATTGCCTAGAGGCTCTTGCACATTTCTTTAAAGTCTTGCCACAATCTAGAGCCCCCAACTCAGACAGGTTAAAATCACTAAGGACTCTGGTTTCCTCATCTATTAAATCAAATAACTGTATTAATAACTATTCTTCCAGCTCAAAATTACAATTCCGTGCCTTCCCTGTTCCTTCTCTGCTAGAAACAATCTCTCCTATGAACATGAACAAAAGTTGACTTGTACCTGTCATGTATTACATCAATTCAATGAATCATTTGAGCACCCATTCTAGGTCAAGGGTTGTGTTGGAGGAATAAGTGGTAAAGAGGCAAACAAGGCAGACATGGCCCCTTCCCTCAAGAGCAACCCTACTGGTGTGAATATAGGAGTTCAACCTCCTCCAAGAGGGCAGGAGGCAGCTGTATGTCCCCATCAGGGCTCTGCACAAAACGGGTACAAAGAAAAGCTTGACAAAAGCATGAACCACCCCTGGACATCTAAACATTACCTGCACATTTGACTTTGCTCTGGGATGAAGACCAGGAGCCTGCAGGAAGTCCAGCAGTGAAGGAGATGTGGTGTGGTGCTTTCCCCACATGCTGCTCTTTTAAGGCTCCTGGGGAAAGACTCAGGATTCTAAATAAAAAGGAAAACAAACTATGTAAAGGACAATCCCCACCCCCACCTCCTTTTAAAGCACTGGATTGAGATTTTTAAAAGAGGTACTTTCCACTTTCAATAGATGATTCAAGGTTGATTCTTCTTCTTCTTTTGCTTAAGTAAAGCCAGATGCTCAGCAGGTGTGAATCATGTAGAAAGCTTTTACAGGTGGTGAGGACAAGTGATCACTAAAATACTCAAAGAATGCTCATATTCTAAATGATGTACACATGACATAAAAAAAGTACTCTTCTGAGAAAACATTTAAAAATGGCAATGTTGGTGAAGTGGTCAGGTTCTACAACAAACTGTTGAGTCTATAGCTCCTCATCAAAAGTTTTCTTCTCACAAGTAGGCAGAAAGCAAAATCAAAATGATTCCTAGAACTGAAGTGTTGAATTCCAGTCAATGAGTGGAGTCTCTGAGCTGTAACAAACTATTATGGTGTATACGTGTCATTTCATTCACACTTCCTATCATTCATTTTGAAAGCTATTTTTGTGTATTTGGCCCGTGAGAACACTCAGTTTGGGGCTCAAAAATATGGTACACTTGACCCAAAGAGATTCCATTTTCCAAGCTACTGACTGTAGGAATTCTAAGGGCCTGCTGAGTTCCATGAGCAAAGAAAACCACTGGGTCCCTAATAAATTTATGTAAAACCATAGGTTTACTGGGTATACAAAAACTTTTAGGGTTGGAAGACATAGGAAGGTCACAATTAGTTACTGCAATACACGAAAGTTTATTTTTGACTTTTTTCTTTTTTGAAGGAAATAACAGAAATAAACATCAATAAATTTTGTACAACAAAAACAGCTTTTAATATGGAACAGACAACCCACAAATTTTAAAAATCTCAGAATGGCTTCCCTTTTTCAAAGTCATGCTTTCTTGTGCTCTGGGAGGAATCGGCATGGAAAAGATGGTGGCAGCCCACTGGGTTCCCTAGATTCGAGTCAGCTGGTGCCACAGACTGGATGGGAGGATGCTTTCCACTTTATCCATGACAAAGTTTAAGGGGGCAAACAAAGTGCTGAGGAACTGCAAAGAAACCAGAAAGGCACAGATGTCAGAAGAGATTTCATTCAAGATTATAAAATAAACCTCTCCAACCCATGCCTGCATTTAAAGTTTCTGCATCTAAAGTCTCAAAAGGCTACAACTTTCACATTTATGTTTACAGGAAACCTACATTCCAGTCCCCACCCCCTAGCTCTGAGAGATAAAGGGGAGCAGTGTCCCCTTTGATAGCTGCCCCACAATCTGAGGCCTTCCAATTAGCCTTCCAATTAGCCTTCAGGATTTCCTAGCTGCCCATGCAGATGACCACCAAAAGAGATTGACAGATAGCTAGCAAGTGGGCAAAAGAGTTAAAAAATGGTGACAAGTTTAAAATGGTGGCCACCTGCTTACCTAGCTGGTTACAGAACTCACTAAATAAAAAAAGGAATTTTTAAAAGTCAAGTTTGTTGTATGGTTGTGAACTGCTTTGGGATCCTAGTCTCCCAAACACTTCTGCAGCCCATGCTCATTTCTGAACTACTTGCTTAGTGGTGTGCATCATGGGAGCCTGCGGGAGGGCAGCCAACTGGCCAGTCCTCGGATGACATATCCTTGTTGAAGAGGTGCTGCTCTGAGATCTTTGGACCTATTTCCTTTGGTTACTAAACTCCTTTCTGCTTTACACGTCAAGAATAATTTAGCACATTAACTGTGCCTTTAAAGAAACCCAAGTGCTTCGCCTGAGACTCATTTAACATAATCTCAAAACTGTTCTGATTATGATCTTGTGAAGAATCAGCTTCACTTCACAAACCATCCAATATTTGGCAGAAGAGGGGCCCTAACCCATCCAAGCAAGAGAGGGGCATTTGGATGGTTTCTTTGCCCTCTGTCTCTCTCTTCAGAACCACGGTATCACCCTTACTAGGGTTCAATACCTGCTTTGAGTTCTGTGGAGTCCTTTGTCCTAATCCCTTGTCCATAGCACATCACTGTCTATACTACCAAGAATTTCCCATAGAGGTGTAGTGTAGGCTGTGAGTATATAAGCAGAGGGGAAACATAGTTCTTAGGTAAGAAAATGACCTAAGTTAATGAAGTTAAAACAGGCTTCTCTACTGGTCATATGTTCTATGGACTGTGAGTCCAAGAAAGGGTATGGTAGGAAGTTTCCCAAATTCATATGACCTCAGAATCTTTCCTCCTTGTTTTTTAAAAGAACCAGTAGAATACAAACAGAGAAGGCCCATAACACATTACAGCTCGATCATCAAGTGTGAGGATGTAAAGGAAACTTAGGAGTCTTTCTCTGTGCTGTATCTGTTACATCAATTAAATATATTTACTCAGCAAGGCACTTAAGTACTCAGTGAGATATAAAGAAGTCTAGGACAAAACTCCCACGGTCAGGAACCTCAAAGCCTAGAGTTGGGAGGAGGAGGCACTAAGACCTGTACACAGCAAAGTAATAATATCAGATAGACCATGACAGAATAGAAGCATCAGGAAGATTCAGAAAAGGGAGAGAATCCTTTCTGTTGAAAGGATCGGGAAAAACTTAAAGTGAGGCAACTGAAATAGACTCCAATGAATGGTTGGATATCAGAAGACAGAGATGGGGTAAGGATGATAAGGAAAGAAATATGACCAGGTGGGCCCTCCAGGCTCAATAACCAATTGGAAGAGAAATGGGAAAACAACTGGTAGGACCAGAAGACAGTAAATAGTTTAGCTTAGCTGGAAGAGTTACAGGTAGAGTTTAAAAGTAACTAGAAGGCCTGAGGGGGGCGGGGCGGGCAAGGGGGGTCAATGGGGGAAAAAGGGGAACATCTGTAATATTTTCAACAATAAAGGTAAATTTAAAAAATAAAGTAAAGCAGCCATGAAAAAAATTGTATGGCAAAATTTTCTTGAGTTGCAGAAAAAGAAATATTTTACTTAAAAAAATAAAAGGTAACTAGAAGGATGCTAAAGAGGGCCTTAAAGCTAGGCTGGATTTGTAGTTAAGAAATAGGCAGCAATGTTAGTACTTGCACAAAGATGGATGGCTCTTTCTTTCCTCAAGTGCATGTTAGATATATAGCAATTTCCAGTTAACTTCTGAAGTTATCCTTTGCATGCACAGAACCTCTTGAGATGCTCATTCTACAGAATGGACTGCCTATGCCTACCCTTTTCAGTTTAGAGTTGAATGTAGTTGTAAGGTGTCATGGGATATATCTGGCCCAGAAACGAGTAATTACTTCCTCTAAAAGAGTCTGTAAAATCCTGGTTATGAGAAGATAATATGGAACAAGTCTACTGATTGCATTAACCTAACATGATAACATAAAATTAAAAAGACATACATTTTTTACTTATTTTTGTGTTCAGAGACCACCATGCTTCATAAATCATAGCATTTGCCTAAAATACTTAATTACATAAAGAGGAACTAGGTGCTAACGTGGTCTGGAAAAAACAGAGATTCTGACAGGGGTTGGAAGATGGGGCTCAGCGAACAAGGTGATATTGCCATATCCTAAAGACTTGACCAAAAACAGATACAGAACTGCTGAATTTGTGATGGAGGGGGGAAGGACTACTGAAGTATTAGCATGAGCCAGTGCAGTTAGAGGAAAGGAATCACTCAATGTCTTACTCTGGGCTGTTTCACGCACTATCACATGGAGGTATTAGGGAGCCTCATCTTGGGCAGCAGAATGAGTGGGGATGTTGTCATACAGTTGTTTCAAAATAAAGTGCTGTTGCCTAGACTGTGGCATCAACCTAGGATGCAGGAGAATGCGGTTCAATTCCCTGTTGGGGCACAGGCCCCGGTTGTGGGTTCAATCCCCCGTGGGGGGGCGTGCAGGAGGCAGCCAGTCAATGGCTCTCTCATCACTGATGTTTCTAGCTCTCTCTCCCTCTTCCTTCCTCTCTCTGAAATCAATAAAGACATTTTTTTTAAAAAGAAAAAGAAATAACGCCGTTTGTTTGCTTTGTTTTGGGCACTGACCTGATAGATAACAAGTGCAAAAGGTAAGGCCTCTGGAAATCAAGAGGTGAGCCTCTCTCCCTGTGTGATGTCCATAATTGCCCCTCTTCCCGAAAGGCTCAGCAAGACACAATGTGGCCTGCCTCCCCAGACTATACCTGCCTTCTCACCAACGTTCCACAAGAGATTTAAGTCCCCCTACCTCTAATGTATATGATAATTTACTGCTCTCCCTCACATCTAGAATGTTCCATCCTGGGGAAATTAAGAAAAGAATCCCTTGAAACTTCCCCCAGAGATCCTAATTCTCTCACAGCACCCAGTTATGATGTGTTTAATTACTAAGCTATTCTCCTCCTTAGCACCCTGCCCCCCATCTTCCTTCTCATACCTCACCCACAGGGAGATGCTGCTGAGCCCTTTCATTTAGGAACAAAATAAAGGTCAGCAGCTTTCATTGGAGGCATTAAAAAAAAAAAAAAAGGTTTGGTAGAACCTGCCTTGCTTGGGATGCTTATTTATATTTCTTTGCATGTTTGAAAATCAGTCCTTTTTTTTTTCCAGGCCAGGAAAACAACCAGTGCACATAAAGGAACAGTGGTTTTGATCATAGACTTGGGAAATTAATTGCCTGAAGAGTTCAGTCTGAATGAGCAACATCAGGCAACCCTGGAACAGCTCATCTCTTTTCAGTGTCCAAAACTTCTGTCCAGAGGGCAGAGATACATGGTCCAAAACGCACTATGATTTAATCAGTGCTTGTGGTGAGAAAAAGCAACTGAACTAATAAAAAAGAGAGAGTGACATTTCAATCGCCTGATCCTCCTTTTCCTGAAACATCATTATTTAGAACAAGGTCATGGCTCCCAACATGCTTAGTTAACTAGAAACGCCACTGCTTATCTGAATAAATTCCAGGTGCCCCATTGCAATCAGACAACTGACATTTCACTGTAATCCATATCAGACTTCAAAGAGGTCAGGGCTTATAAGTGAAGACGAGAGTCAGAAGTTAGCGGGCTCCGTCTCAGGGAAGGAAGGAGAAAGACTACAGGAGTAAAGACAAGGTCCTTGAAAGCAGAAGGGGTCAGAATGCTGACCTCCCCACACTTTGACAGGGGTTGGGTTTGGAACATAACTTATTTATATGAGCAACCTTATCTTGGTAACCAAACATTCTAGGAGGAGTTAGTCTCAAGTCATTGAGGTAGATTAGATAAGAGAAGCCAGCTGAAGCTTCTCATTCACTATTTCCAGTGGCTCACACTTGGCTGGGCTTCCTTACTGGCTGCCCATCAACATGTAAACACGCTGCAGAGTCCCCAAGCTGCATGTGGCCTGGGGTGGCAGTGCAATCTCTGCATCTACTAAAAGTCATTATCCCAGGGACATATCTCGGGTGAAGGCTGAGAAAGTCAGTTTCATAAGCTGCAAATGGTTACAGGAAGCCTATAGGGCAGCTTTGATAACCTGCAGGCTTCTAAGGGGCCCTATGAAGTGACAAGGGTGAAAATGTGGAGAAGACTATGGGGGTGGCTTGGTGGGG